AGAAAAGGGTCGCGGAAAGGTCCAGCCAGGCCTGTGGAGAGGCAGAAGGAGCAATGCGGTCGAACGGGCAGGAGGCGCGTTGCCCAAAAGAAAGCCGAGCCAAAAGAAGAAAGAACGACGGAAGACGGGTGGTTTAGTAGGCCGTATTGTGAACGGTGGGAGAGAAAGAAGAAGAGAAAAAGGCGAATAGGGTCGTCGTGGGGAGAGACAGCACAGCAAGAACAAACAAGAAAAAACCCGCTTGCTTGCTTGGACTAGCCAGGTGGGAAGGGAGAACGAAGGTCGAGATCAGGGCCAGCTAGCCTTGGTAACGGCAAGGGCAGAGCAAAGGGCAGATGGCGCGGATTCCCAATCGTCAATGGGATGGAAGCGGCTGGTCAATAGGCGAAAAGGGCGTAATTAAGAAGAACCAGTACCAGGGCCAAGATCAACTAGGTTGGGAATTGGGAACAGCCTAACTAGGCGTCACGGTGGGACTAGATGCAGGCAGAGCAGAGAACATATCAAAGAATCTTGGTGGAAGACGGGAATAACAGACGCAGCGTACGAAATGGGCAAGGAAGTAGGGAACTACCCAGCTCAACTATTGCGCTATCTCACCTAGTTGTATGTTGGCGAGGAGTACCGCATGTACTTGCAATGGTTGGTAGGTTGTTTTACAGACACTCCTGCTGGGCTAATTAGGATCCCGACCACTGAGGAACAAAGTGGATGGGAGGTGGGGTGTGGGAGGGGCTAAAGGGACGAGGGGGGCTCCTAATTACTAATGGCCATGGATTGTGGCAGATCTGGGTCGCCCGCAAAGCCAATCATTCTGATGTCTGTTCATGAGCCATGCAATGCGTTCATTGGACAGAGTTGAGACGGTCTCTCTGCCCTCCAGGAGGCTACCAATTCCAGGAGCGAGGCGAGGGCCGCACCATGGCAGGCCCAGGAGCTCGACAGGTACCCAGGTATGCAGGTGGCATAGGTAGAGTGTCTAGAGATGGGTACAACCTGTGCCCCCGTGAGAGAGAGAGAGAGGGTGAGGGTCGATATGAGTGCTGTGTCATGCCCTTTGTGCGCCTCGTGGGCAAGAGTCATGAGCATCCAAGCACCCGTTCCATACCCATATCACTAGCGCGGGGAAGCGTACCGACCTTCCCTCCCGCTGACCTGACAGGACAAAGACTTGCGAGAAAAAAGGGCCAGGCCAATGCCGTGCATAAGACGGTGAGACGATGAGGAATCGGGAGGGTTGGACGTGCCTTAGTCGCGTGGTGACGACGGTGGGCCAATGGCAAAGGGGAAGGGCGAAATCCATCTTACACCATGTGGTGGTAGGCGGGAAACCCTCCCGTCTCCAAATGGCTGCAGGCTGGCTCTCTCTCCTATCGGACGACCAAGAGTCGTGCCCAGTCCCTGCGAGTTGCACAAGCAAAGCGGACAAGGACAGCCTGGCGAGCGAGGACGAGGTACCGAGCGATCTGCTCACTTACAGCCAATGCATTCGCTGCAGGCTGTACACACGTCTGCTCACCTGACCCAGGCAAGGTACCCGCCTGAGGAGATATCCGTCTCTCCATTTCCAGCACGGCTTTCTTGACTGCATTAGCAAATTAGGTGGCACACTGGCTGGCGGCGGGAGCATGTTCCCGCTAGGAGGTACCTATGCCACCTGTGACCTGCCTTGCCTGCTAACTGCTGCCCTTCACCGCCCAGCAGGAGTTGAGCCCATTTCTCTCGGACTTGGACGATTAGCCCAACTGGGAAAAACATCCCAAGTCATTGAGAACCCTGCTTCGCCCTACGCCCTAAGGGAAATTTGCTTCTAGCACATCTGCCCACCAGACGATGGCGAGTTACGGAGCTGAGGTCCGATGCTCGACGCACAGCGTGCATCTGCCATGAGTACATACATGGCAGCAGGCTGGGAGCTGCGCAGATCTACCTGTCTAGGCCAATCCAATTAATTATCCACCCCGTGTCTCTCTTTGTGTGGCTGCGAATTGGCATGGGCGGATGATTTCAAGGCACAATTGCCAGGACGCTCGTGCAGGAGACCTAATGGTGGGGAAGGTGCGTCCTTTAGCAAAGGAGAAATCAGGCCGCCTATGACGAGTGTGGCAAAGATCTACGATACCGGCCAGGGCACGTCATTGTGGGTGGGACCCTGGACCTCAGGCATGGGACAATGTACTTGGATTCAAGGTTCAACGCACCCGCCCATTCATCCCTTGGTTCAGCGCACAGCTGAGAAGCTATCAGCCTCTATTGACTTGACTATCGCCATTTCTGCATGCGCTGGCTTTACATCTCCTGTTTGTTCATCATGAGCAGCAGCAGCGTCCTCGATGCCATGACTCTTGCAAGGGGAGCTAGCCCGGGGAAAATGGAAAAAAATCTCCCCAAGTCCAGCGCCACGGAAGGTACAACCAGGACCTAGCTTCCAGCCCTCCCCAATGCGTATATCGTGTCCGTGGGTATGGCACACCAAATAGGCTGGCTGCAAGTAGGTACTCACTGTTGCAATGTCCAACCAAGACAGACAGCCAGCGACAGGGGGTGGGACGAGCGGGCTGCCAACGTTGCTGTGCCGCGCCCACCCCCTATGACGCCGTTGGCACTCCGGCGTGGAGAGTCCAGAACCTTACAGAACTAACGATCGGCACCCCTTCTCTTGGATACTTAATTTCGCGTTGCTTGATCGTCCATGATTCCCTCCCTCAGACATTCCAGACCCCCATCGGCGCCTGGGGATAATCTCTCGTCCCGAGCTGGTTTGCTTAGGAGTAATTCTTACCCACGACACGACACGAAAGGCGCACGGATCCAGACGCACTCCGAGTCGCCGTACATATGCAGGAATAGGAGGCTGTCATATGTACTATGAGATCTCACCTGCAGAATGATGAGGCTCGGCATTTACCTCTGGTCCGTGCCCTCTTCATGCAAATGATGACTGATGCTTGATGACTGATGCGACCTTGGAGCACTGTTCAGCGGATGACCTGATGAGCGGATGGATGGGTGCATGGATAACATCCGACTCCCTCCTGGCATTCTCGTCTCTGCTGGTGCTACGTGCGACCGAAATGCAAAACATGCTTGGTTTGTGAGACTGGTTGGTCGTCTCTTGTATATGACGTATGGATGATAACAGGAAGCCGTCCCGCTGTCTCACCGTCTGCACGTTTTCATCCTCACCTGCCTTTTCCACTCCCAATCACGTTTCCCTAATCGGGCTTTTCTACCGGGTTCTTGGTGCACGATAACGTTGCGGCTGCTGTGGGATGGACTGCGACCGAAGCCAGAGTCCAGACGGGACCGAACGCGGAGACTGACTGGCAGACGACACATGACATTTATCCAACTCTCCAGCTGAATCCCCCAGATTGGGTAGCTGTCTATGTCGTAGCATCACGCAGCCGCAGTACCTCGCATGCAATGCAATGCAATTCGCTGCTGGTAAAGTACCAGGCGTAAATTAGCTGGTCATGCTTGTTTAATAAAGAGGGGCTGGCCTGTGCCGCTCCGTGATGTGATGATGGCCCATCCGCAGTAAGCAAGCCTATATGTCTCTCAACTCCTCGAGCGCCGATGGCCTCACTCTCCGGGCTCGTCATTCTGGGCTGACGGCTGCCTCCTTCTGGCTGGCTTCGCGCTTGCAACCCACACCTGGGCCTGACCGTGGACGAAGAGGGGGGGGGGGGACCCCTGACTTCAGCCTCGCCCGCTTTTGTCCTACTGGCTGGCTGTCGTCTCCGTTGTTCTTGACCGACTGCTCAAAGGAATACGGCGATCCCTGATTCAAACCTCCCACTCTCTCCGGGCCGGCGAGGGGAGACGTCGCTCCGGAGTCTAGAACACGGGTCCAGCCCCCCCTAAAAGCTCGGTCAACCTCTGAGCTGGCAGATAGGGAATCCTGCACACACAAGTCCGCAACCCATGCAGCCTCCGCACGCACATGGTAGGTAGGTAATCGGGCTTCTAGCACGCGTCTATCCCCGGTATGGTCTCATTCTTTTGAGGGGGGTGGGATAGAGACCTTCCTCTTTGCTCGCCCATCCTCTGAATCGGAAATGGGTCCTGGGGCACTGGGAATGCTTCCCCCGGCCCTGGTTCTGGCAAGGACACACCTGTCTAGCTCGACGCTCCGTCGGTGAAGCGGCTCTGCCTGGCCTTCCCCTTGGATCGTTGCCAAGCCCACCTGGACCAAATGGTCTGGCAGCCTCATTCACGATTGATACAGGATCGGTGGGGTGGGCACATTTCTCGCGGTAGGGGGTCGAGGAGTTGGTTATTAAGCCCGAGATGCACGGCTGGAGCTTCATCACCCCCACTGCGAGTTGTTAACCCTAGCGAGGCCCTATATGCAGAACCCCATTATCCATTATACGTCTAGGCCCTGGGACGTGGGATGAGGTGTTGGTGCGCATATGGTATTATAGTAGCATCTGCCACGCGCTGGGCGTATACTAGATTCTGAGCTCGGGAACGAACCGCCGCTCTGTACGTCCTCGGGGCTGGAAATTGGTTCAGACATCATTCGATGCCTCCTGCATACACGGACAACTTGACGGAGCCGTGATACGAACGGACTAGTGAGTCCGTATGCTAAGTGCGTAAACTGACAATTCTCGCCACCAACTTCCCGGGACATTGGGTAATCCCATTGCTCCCGAGCTGCGTCATGCTCACTCAAGGCTCATCAAATCCATTGATTTGTAATATACCATACCAGTATCATGCAAGAAGGGCCTGTGTTGACAACACCATCCCGCGGGATATCGCCCCAAGCTCGAACTGTGACATTTCCAGTGATACGACACGCCGACAGTTCCCACATGATTCCCACATCCATCCGGCTTTGGCTCTGCATTTACGTTATAATTAGCAAACTCAGACCTGGAACTACCACGCCGGATCGTTCTCGAGACATCCCCAACTCTATTGGAGCAGAAGACAAAGCTTGTTCTTAAAACAGGAAGAAAAAAAGAAACCAATATCATCACCCCGTCATGTCTTCGCAAGCCGCGGAAGCCTCCAGCGAGCGATTTCGGAACCGTAAGCCGATCTCCAAACCTGCCTCCCTTAGGACGGCTCGCCCCTAGTCGTCGACAAAGACCTCTACGCGGCCGTGCAGCAGGCGCCACGGGTCCTCATAAACGAGTTCACCTTGCCCATCCGCTCCGGCCGGGCGTGGGAGGCGGCCGCCGGCTCCATCGTGAAGATCAACACTCCCTCGGGGCCGCAAGTTGGTTCGTAGCCCCCCTCAAGTTTCCGTAGGGGGAAGAGAGGAGGAGAGAAGCGTAGAGACCAAAGCAGAAAGAAAATCAATCTCCGGCGGCGCCCAGTACGACTTCCACTGCCACTCGAACCTGGTCCGGGCCGTCACGCCGTGGGGCCTCAACGAAACGGACGTCCACCATGTCATCAACATCTTCCAGTCGACGGGGCTGGACGATGGGGGGAGGTACTTTATGAACCCGTGTCCTGCTGAAAAGGGGGACAGTCTTGAGTTCCTCGCCTCGCAGGATCTCCTCATGGCTTTGAGTATGTCGAACCCACTCCTCCCCCCTTTTCCCCCTTTTTGGGGGGAATAGAACATCTTCCATCCATAAACTTCAGATTGAAACTCCTAGTATCCTGTCGGTAGACTTAACGGTCGTCCAGGCACTTGCCCCGGAGGCGATCTCTCCCTCTGGGGATTCGGCAGTGACAGCGAGGAGGAGATGATCAAGTGCTGCCGGCCCCTCAAGGTCCAGGTCTACGAGCTGTAGGACAAGGAGTTCTTGAAGAAGGCCGGCTGGACCCCTGCCGAACCCGCCAAGTACCGTGGCATGCACGGCGTCCGTCCTATCGAGGGCGAGGGCCGGGATAATGGGCGTCAAAGGCATAGTGTAGGTGAATCACGACCCTGGTTGGTCAGTTAGTATGTAGTCGCTCTGCACACATATATAGCTGCAGTCTACGACTACAATGCTTGCCAGTTGGAGATTTCGTAACATGACATATCACTTCGAACATCAGGTGAGGAGACGGATGATTGCCAAAACGAAAGGCTTTTAGACCCAGTATTCCAATGCATCAGCACGCCATCTTCACAACTCCTCTACCGGCCAAACCAAGTCCCTGTAAACAGCAATTTTGAGAATTTCTATACTAGTTGTAAAATTACTTCCATAGCTTGCCGAGAGAAACCTCCTTGTCATCATGCTTGTTGAGAACCTTGGCAGTAGCCAGCTCAAAGTCCTCTTGCGTGACGTGCACTCTGCGCTCACGCAGGGCGTACATACCGGCTTCTGTGCACACACCCTTCAACTCAGCACCAGAGCACCCGTTCATCTTCTCGGCAATCTTCGTCAGGTTGATACCGCGGGTAAGATTCATCTTACGGCTGTGGATGCGGAGAATATCGGCTCTGGCCTCGACGCTTGGCGGGGGGAACTCGATTTTCCTGTCGATTCGACCGGGACGCAGCAGCGCGGGATCCAGAATATCGAGACGATTGGTGGCCATGATGACCTTGATGTTCTTGGTGGGCTCGAAACCGTCCAGCTGGTTCAGCAGTTCCAGCATGGTTCGCTGGACTTCCGAGTCACCGCCCGATGAGCCCTCCACTCGGGAGGAACCAATGCTGTCGATTTCGTCCATGAAGATGATGGAAGGGGCATGCTCACGAGCCATGACGAACAGCTCTCGCACCATACGACTACCCTCTCCGATATACTTTTGCACCAGCTCGGAACCCGACACCCTGATGAACTTGCAGTGCGTGTGATGGGCGACAGCTCTGGCCAGCAGGGTCTTTCCGGTACCGGGGGGTCCGTACAGAAGGACACCCTTGGGTTGTGCGATACCCAGCGACTCGAACAGCTCTGGGTGCTTCAGGCCAAGCTCGATGACCTCCTTGATTTCCTTGATCTGCTGATCAAGACCACCAATCATATCGTACGTGCTGTCGGGCACCTTTTCTACCATCATCAGGGAGACGAGAGGGTCGACCGATGATGGGAGGAGCTTCTCAAGCTTGTAGGAGTCGGAGAGGAGGGTCACTCGCTTCCCGGGGGTGAGCTTGGAGATGTCGACGCTGTCGGACACATCGACAACTGTTCATAAAATTAGCAAAAGGGTCCGGTCAATACGTAGCTATCTCGGGGCGGCTCGATTGAAGGAGCGTACCGTATTTTCCCTCGGGGTGCACCTTGACCAGGACCTTCTTGGTGCTCATAACCTTCACAACCTCACCCACATAAGATCCCGGCTGTTGCAAGAGGCCCAGCTCCTCCCTCAATAAGCGGACACGAGAGTTGTAGTCGTTACGCTGAGCTTCAAGACGACGCAGAGCAGCCTGACCCTTGAGGATCTCGAGCTTCATCGACTCGATCTTGTTGTGGTAGTACTCGTCGAGCGCCATCTTCGCGGCGGGTCTGCCGACGGCAGGGACAGGCAGGAACCGTGGGTTTGTTGTTGGGGCGTGGTCGGGCTCGGGAATTGGCTGCCGCGGTGGCTCTGGATCTATGCTGCGTGATGCGGCTGAGGACGGCGTGTGCGGCGACTTGGGAGCGTGCTGCGGTGGTGGAGGTGAAGCTGGGTTTGACGTTGACGGCGATGATGACCTATCTGGACTGGAAGGCTGCAGCTGGCTGACGACCCGCAGGCGAGTGCCTAACCAGGACAGCGACCAGCCAGAGCTACCCGGAAAGCACATTTCGCCGGCTCCGGCCCCCAGGCGCTAGAACCTACTATGACGAGCTTATCGCCGATGTTCACGATAAGGAATTCTGGGTTCAATGGCAGATGAACATGGCATCGCATTTCCAGAGTTTCAAAGAAGACAACTTGAAAAATAGGTCGAGATTACAGGCGTGGTTTTTTTCTATTTTCTCAGCTACGTATGGAAAAGGCAGTCAGCCGACTGAGGCAGATTCCGGGGCACCGTTTTGGCGGCCGCACCCTCAATTAGTCACGCCCAGGTCTGAGATAATCTATTTCGATGGTTTTATAAGTCATGAGGGAGGTGTGGATGCAATGTCACCAGGTCAGTTGCCTCAAGTGCGAGGGGTTAAGCCAGCCGCCATCTCTTCCCTTCACATGCTTTACTAGTTTCATATCTCGATGGTCAAATCAATGTCTGAGCAACATTTTATGCGAGAGGCGAGAGTCGAAATGTCCAGTACACAGGTACATGTAAGATATCAGGTAGATATCAAATCAAGCTTGCATTCATAAATGTGTACGTCTATCGCTTACTCTTAATATCCCAATGCCAAAGAAAACCCAAATCTGTGCAATTCATGTATCGGAATTCCAAAACAGGCGCCGGCTCATATCCTAGTTGTGGCTGACGATGCTCAGCTTCCTCAGTGCCGCCTCGCTCTCAGGCGTGTGCCTGGCCTGGACGACCATCAGGCTGGTGTTGGCAACCTTGGTCTTCTTCATCTCGGTGACCACAGCCGCTGCGATCGGCCCAAGCACCTTGTGCGGGTCGTCGCTCCCGGCGCCCACAGGCTCCGAGGCAGCCCCCTCGGCGCGTCCCAGGATCAAGATGGTATCTCTGGTCGTGTCGGCCCGTGAGGCGAGCAGGCCGGTAGCCAGCAGCCCGACGTTGCCGCCGTGGGCGGTGGCCATGTCCACAAAGCGGACGCGGTCGGCTAGGTTCGCGTCCAGGCTGTCCTTGATTGTTCCGAACCTCGCGTAGCCGGGTGAGTCGCTTGACGACGCATCGACGATGGTGACGTTGACTGTGTCGTTTTGAGCGAGTTGGATACCAAGACGGACGGCGTAGATGTCGTCCAGACCACCAGCGTACAGAACATAGATGTGCTTCTTTGCGGTTGCGTCAGCTGAGTAGAACTTGACAGCGGTTGAGTCTTCAGCCTCAGAGGCAGCAGTGATGGACAGGCCAGTCCTCGTTCTCTTCAGGCCAGCTTGGGCTTGCTCGCTTTGGTGCAGCAGGTGGCTATCGATGAAAGTAGCGACAGCAGACTGTGGTCGGGCGTCATCAAGAATCTTGCCAACCAAGGAGGAGAATTCACTATTTGTCAAGAGGTCGCCACGGGGAGCCGCGCTGAAGAATGATTGCAGCTCAGAGGCGGTTCCGGTCTCGCTCCAGGGAAGGACAATCAGGTCGCTCTTGTTATTTGAAGCCTCGGATACCAGAGTCTCGGCGAAAGAATGCTGAGGAACGACGGCGAGCTGGCCCGAGACCACGACGTCCCGAGTGGTGCTGTTGGTGCAAGTACCAAACGCTCTAATGATAGGGTCGTTGCTAGCGTATTCCTCGATCTCGGTCACCTTCATCACTGATGAGTTTCTCTCACTCAGCTCGACCAGACGATGTCCGTGGATGCGCAGAAGATTCTGAGGCGAGCGGGAGCCCGTAGCGGGTTCCTTTTCGGGGTGGTCCTCGTTCGAGGAGAGCTGTGGAGATTGACCATCTCGCTGGCCGTTTGTGAACAGGCCGAGGACGGAGAGCAAGCTGGAGAGGCCATCCGTGCGAAGCCAGACGAACATCCTCTGTGTGGCTTCCTTCTGATCCGAATCAGAGTCGTCTCCGTCGTGGTGGATGGGGGTGCCATCCCAGTTGATTCTGCCCTGCTTCCACAGCTGCAACTTGCGCTGGTAGGCCGGGGGGTACAGGAAGCTAACAGCAGGAGCCGTAGCAAAGGTGGTGATGAGAGCCATGACGACAAACATGGTGAATGTTCGCGTGCTCAGGATCTTGGCCTCCAGTCCAATGTTGAGGACGATGAGCTCCACGAGACCCTTGCAGGACATGAGAGTACCAATTGTGAATGATTCTCTCCAGACCAGACCGTTCATACGTGCACCAATGGTCCCGCCAGCAATCTTACTCAAGAAAGCAACCACGATGATGGCAACCACGTAGCCCCAGGTGACACCGTTGTCCAGAAGGGAAAGATTGGTGCTGAGGCCGGCGTTGGCAAAGAAGAGAGGCACGAGAAGCGCCGAGATCAGATCCTCAATCTTCTCGGTCAGCTTGATGGCAAAGCCACCCTCGTGAGGGCACATGAGCCCAACCATGAAAGCACCGAAAATAGAGTGAACACCAATAACGCTGGTGAAGAAGGCTGACGCGAGCACGATCAGGATGGTCAGAGCCACGATACCCTCGGAGGGTCCCTTCTCGAGACTCTGTGTCCGGCGCAGGGTCCACATGAAGGCCGGTCGCACGGCATAGGCCAAGAACAAGGCCCAGCCGACGGCAGCGAGAAGGACGTAGACGGAGGTGACCCCTGCGCCAGAGTTGACGAGGGTAACGCACAGGGCCAGAAGGACCCAGCCAACCACGTCATTGGCGATACCCGACGACAGAGTAATGACACCAACATTGGTATTCAGCAGCTTCAGGGAGGTCAAGATACGGCAGAGCACGGGGAAGGCGGTGATGGCCATGGCAACACCGATGAACAGAGCGTATACTCCAAAGGACACCTCCTTAATGCCAGGCTCGGAGCCGAATTGGTTGTATAAGCCCCAGGCGACGGCCACACCCAGCCCGAACGGAATGGTCATGTCGAGGGCAGCCACGCTGATGGCAATGCGCCAGTTGCTCAGGAGGTAATTCAGGTTGATTTCAAGTCCGACCAGGAACAGGAAGAGAACCAGACCAAGGTTGGCAGCGAGTTTGAAGGAAGGCATCGACTCCTTGGGGAAGATGGCATCGGTGAAGCCGGGGATACGGCCCATGATGGACGGGCCAAGGATCACACCCTACGAGTAACAAAAAAAACATTAGCTTACGGCTGTGTAGTTG